GACAGCAACGCTCTTGGCTGGCCGCGCCCGTGATCGCGATAGCAACAGAGGTCAGGCAATTGTGACAGTGCCAGGTCCACATATCCGCTGCCGTCCACCCAGTGTCTCCTCTATTCATCTCGCGCACCAGCCTGTGGATTGCCTGACCGTTGCGCCCTCGTGCCGTCGTCCGAGCCTTCACGGCTACTGCCTGAGGCTGGCCTAGTTCCCGCACACCTTGCACTTGTGTTTCATCCAGGCGATCCGCTTGGCGTTGCACCTCACTCTCGACTTCTGGCTGTTCAATCGGGCACAGCCTCCTATACCAAGTCACCACCGCTCCTCCGCCGTCCGGCTGTCCACCTCGCACGCACGTCGACTCTGCGCCTGCTGCCGCATTGAGCGTCCTGCGCTACTCTCACCCTAGAGTTGGAGCTCCTTCCTCCCCCGCCCGTCGCTCCTTCTCCCGCAACCACAAACCGAACCACCGACCCACGCTACCGAGCTCGCCCGCGCCCTGCTCTCCCCATCCATGTCCACTGCCGCTGCGACTCCGAATACCTCCTCCAATGCTCTAAACCCCGCCGCCAATTCCTCCCGGCCACTGAAGATGAGCACTGCCGCCAAAGGCATCGACGCACAGCAGCGAAAGCCCGGAAGCCCCATCGACGGCGGTCAGAAGTAAGCGCCTGCCCTGCACTCCCCATAAACACGTCTCCTACACTCCTGCCCCGCGTCCCTTGCATTGCAGACACATAGAGGCATGCCTCGAGTGCTCCCGCCATGCGGGATATTCTCGTGTGACGTGCGGCTGGTCACATGGAGTCACGGTGCGACTGCCCTGTCCACTCGATGGCCCTCTCCCCGTCTACTGTGCTCAATTACCTCATGTCCCAATGCTCTGTCCTCGACAACACCCTCCCCACTTGCACCTGGCGCCATGCTGACCGGGCGACTTGCAGGAAACCTCCCGCCAAAACGGCATGGACCCAGGGCACCAATCCCATCACCCAGCGACCGACTCACTCCCCCACCCCCAACGGTGCCGTAAGCTCACCTAAGCCCCCACAAGGCTCGACGGCTGCCTCCGCCGACAACGCTTCCCCAATGAGGCACCTCAGCGACCGTATGATGTACCTGCTGGCCAATCTGACGGTAAGTGACAGCTGGCTTTCTATGCGACGTGGGCGAACAGTGCTAATGACACAAACAGGGTCTTCCGGGCATTATTACGCTGAAGAATGGCGAAAAGTACTCTGGTGTCCTCTCAGGCACCTCACTCGACCCCAGCGAGCTGCGCTATGTCTTCAAGATGGTCAAGAAGCTCCTGCCTACCAGCAACGCTCAGACCAACGGCACGAGCCAGTTGTCCGACGACTACGTTGGCTCAGGCGATTACCACGTCATGTCATTTGACATGAGCGATGTGGCAGATTTCAATGTCAACAACGTTGTCCTTGACAAGTCCCAGCTCAAGGGCCAGAATGGTGTGTACCAAAATCTACATCGCCTTTCTATGCCAGGCTAACAAAAAAAGGCACCGCAGGCTTCCGCACTGATACCGACATCTCTGGCAAGCTCGAACTCCGTGAACGCAATCTTCAGAAGTGGGAACCGTCCGAGGTTGATCCCAACATGACGCTCGAGTCTACCGGCCGTTCGAACGACTGGGACCAGTTCTCCGCCAACGAGCGCCTGTTCGGTGTGAAGAGCAACTACGACGAGAACATCTACACCACCACCATCAATAAGAATGACCCACAGTATGCGGAACGGCTTGCCCGTGCTGAGAAGATCGCCCGAGAGATTGAAGGTAGCAGCGCAACCAACTCGCACGTCCGCGAAGAGCGCGGAGGATACACTGCGGCCGATGACAATGGCGATGAAGAGGACAAGTACAGTGGAGTACGACGAGACCTGACAAACCTGTCAAGCGGCCAGTCCAACCGGTACACCCCACCCGCACGACGTGCCCCCGCCCCCGAGGCGACGGTGCCCGGCGCACCGGTGGACCCTGCCATTATCTCGTCTTCCGTCGCACGGCCTGCCTCGCAGTCGACACAACGAGTTGCAAGTCCCGCCGCACCAGCACCAGCAGCAGCTGCGCCTGAACCTAGCAAAACGCAAGAGTCCAGCAAAGACGCACCCAAGCCTGCATCAAAACCAGTCGACGCGCACAAGGCTATCGCGGAACAGCTGCAGAAGCCAAGTAGTACGATCAAATCTGGGGTTGCTGCCATCCCTCCTAGGAAAGCTGGACGGCCACACGACGCAACTACCAACGTTGAGCACGACCTGCTTGACTCCTTCAAGCAGTTTTCAGCCGCTGAGAAGTTACGGATTTCCGATCGCCAGAGGGCTTTCGCACGCGAGAACAAGGCCGTGAAGCTCAACGATCTTAAGAAGTTCGCGCTCAACTTCAAACTGAGCACGCCGGTACCGTCAGATCTTGTGCCCATACTCGCTAAGGACGAGACAAAGCAGCAGGCTATCGTCGACAAGGCCAACAAACAAGCGCAGGAAATGAAGACTACACCTCCGAAGGCGTCCAGCACCATGGCAGACCCCAAAGCTGCCGCACGATCTGCTGTCAAGCCAGAATCCACCCAAGCATCCCCTAGCACTAACGCAGAGCGCCAACAAAATCAGCGTGCTCGACCAGGGCAGCCAGCCTATGCGTCTGCTTCTTTGCGGGGTTCCCACCAGAACATGAACCAGATGCCTCCTCGCAACCAAGGACTACTTAGCACTCGTCTGCAGATGAACCACCAGCAGCATAAGCAGCAAGGTGCCATGCCATACAACGGCGTTCCTCAACCGATACCAGCTCAGGATATGCGCATACCACCTACTGGTCCTTCACAGCCCTCGAGTGGTGCCCAGACGCCTTCTTCCAGCGTGTCTACAAGGTTCAACGTTCGCGCCCATGAGTTCAAGCCCAACCCAGCTGCAAACACCTTCCAGCCCGGTGGAACGCCAAGCGCTACCTCCAGTCCTAGGCCCAACTCGTCTAGGCAAGAAGTCCGCAAGCCTCCTGTTACCAACTTCTTTACTGGCCCGAAGCCCACTGTTAAATCACTGGACGGACTGACGACCTTCAATGCCATCGGACGCCTTGAGAAAGAGGCGCAGTCGAACGAGAAGTCACATCACTCAGATATCGCACCTCCTTACAAGACCCCGCCTACGTGGGATTTCCCCTCTTCGAACACGAACAAGGGATATGAACAGCTATTTGATCATGCTCCTCCGTCTGCGCCCTTGTCAGTACCACAGCATGTCATGCCCAACGGCCCCATGCCTCACCAGCATCAGTTACCACCTCATCTCCAGGGCGCCCAAGGCATGACACAAGGACCGACACCTCAACACACTCCCCGTGGGCCACCGATACAACCGCACCTCGGCCAAGATCAGCATCATTTTGGTGCTCAACACATGCAATATTCGCACTCAACGTCATCAGTCCAACCTTCACCACGCCCAATGGCGCCGTACATGTATGGCGCACAACCTCAGCCAATGCAAGGCTATCCTCCGCAAGTCCCGCAATATGGCATGAGTCCCGGTATGCAGCATGCCACTATGCGCAACCCACAAGGCGGTCAATTCATGAACGGCCCTGGGCCGGCGATGGGGGGTCAAATGATGACGAACCAGCCTTCAAATGGACCCTTCATGGGAATGCCGGGTAATCCACAGATGCAGATGTACTCTCCCGCTCCCGCTCCTGCGTATCCTCAGTACCCGGCTCACATGCCTCCGGGCGCCAACGGATTCCCTAGCCCCAGGCCAGGTGCACCAATGATGAGCCATCAAGGATCGCAACAAGGCCACCACCAGCAGCAACCACCTATGATGTACATGCAGCCTGGTGCACCAGCTCCTCAGATGTACCAAATGCAGCCAGGAGCCAGTAAGTACACATTCACCGTTATTCATGCAATAGTTGGCTAACATCACACTAGTGGCTCCAATGCGAGGACCTTTCCAGCAACAATACCAAGGTGGTCACTACGGCTCACCACAACAACATCACCAGTTCCCCCAGCAACACCGTGGTACACCCAGTGGAAGTTACTCGCAGTCTATGATGCCGCAGCACTCATCGGGTCCCCAAGCTCCACCCCCCACTGGCCCCGCTAGCCATGCACCGGACGGCAACGCTGAGCCCAAATGAGAATCTTTAAACCAGGTTCACCGCAAACAAGCGGCGTCCGCAGCGTCTGCTGCCTGACCTTCATTATATGCTCTCCTTGCCTGTTTTACCAAATTTTGCTATGCGCTTAGCGTGGGTGGGTTGATTAGTCACCATGATAAGTGGCTGGAGGCATAGCGACAGGCGTTGACTGGGCATGATGGGTGCATAAAAGATTATGGTACGGACGACAACCTTGCAGGTCATGGGCATGCAATATGGGACAAGAGAGGAAGGGAATCGGGACGATCGCTACGCTACACGCGATCGCAACGCGCCAGGAAGGAGCAAGTCATGAGAATCGCTTTGGCGTTTCCGTCCTCGAGGCAGCGTTCAGGGGTGGGGTGGAAAATTACTAGCAAGTAGAGCAGGCTCATGTGAGCACATGCTGCTGGAATACTATCAATACTACAAGTTTACAAACCTCGTTCATGTGCCTGCAATGACCCGCCAGAAGAGAATGGCCGAGTCCATGTCGCGACCTTATATCGTGAACAGAACATAGCATACAGGATACAGTATGCTTGGTCTTGAGCTTGAGACATAACTTTGAGGACAGGCGTCTATTTATGCGGCAAGCAACACAATTTCTGGCATCTCCTGGTGCCGCTGGTACCGCCTACTCTGCAGGTGACATGGATCACCAGGCACAGATCTGGCCCACCCACTAGCGTGTCTCGAGCATTCCGCACTCCCGCGGCCATTCCGACACTACTCCAGATAACCTCCGCCAGCGCACCGTCCTGCTTTCTCTCCCGAACACGCTTCCTATGTATGTGTGTGCTGTATGCAGCGCCCAGATGAAGACGTAGAACTAGACAGCATGAATGACGCTGCTGCCGAGCCCTTGATCTCCAACGACCGCCGCGTTCCGAACGATGCACGCGACCGCTACGATGAAGCCGACGACGCGAGTATAAGAGAGGATGAGGTGGACGAGAGTGCCTTGGTATCCCCAGGCCTGTTCATATGGTGTCTGACTATATGCGCCGGGGTCTCAGGGTTACTATTTGGATATGAGTACGTCGCATCCATTCCTGCGATCTTTTGCGCCATGCCTCATGGCATCTACAGAAAATGGGAGTAACGCCATACTGACGCTGCACAGCACCGGTGTTATATCCTCTACCCTCATCTCCATAAACACCGATCTCTCCTCCCGTCCCCTGACCACCCTCGACAAGAGCTTGATTACGTCTTGCACTTCGTTCTTCGCACTCCTCGCCTCGCCCCTAACGGGTATCCTCGCCGATGCATACGGTCGCAAAACCGTGATCCTCGTTGCAGACATTCTCTTCATACTCGGCGCCCTGTTGCAGGCATGGACAAGCAGTGTTGGCGGCATGATCGTGGGTCGGTCCATTGTCGGCGCAGCAGTCGGAAGCGCGTCATTCGTTGTACCGCTGTATATCTCGGAGCTTAGCCCTAGCCCTTTCCGCGGACGGCTGGTGGTTGTGAGCAGTTTATTTATTACTGGGGGGCAGGTCGTTGCTTATATTGTCGGGTGGTTGTTCTCGGAAAGATTGCATGGATGGAGATGGATGGTGGGCTTGGGGGCTTTACCCGCTGCCATACAGTTCGTTATGCTGTTTTTCCTGCCTGAAACACCGCGATATCTCGTCAAGGCTGGAAAGACGCAACAAGCGAAGAGGGTATTGGGGCGTGTGTATAAAAGTGAGGAAAGCGGGACGAAGTTGGTGAATGCCGTTTTGAGGCGGGTAGAGAAAGAGATTGAAGAGGAGGAGGATGCGGCTGGACTGCGAGGGACTCCTGACATGGCTAAGATCGGTTGGAGAGCTAAGAAGGAGAGGGTGCAAGACAGCTTCTCTCAACTGATCGTCATCGGAGGGAACCGTAGAGCCTTGATTATCGCGTGTATGCTTCAGGGCTTCCAGCAACTGTGCGGCTTTGTAAGTCTCCTCATTCTTGTCCAAGCAACAGATGCCCCCCTTCGTACCACTCAGACGTATCAGAGTATGAAACTCCCGCTAACACCACCCCCAGAATTCACTGATGTACTTCTCCGCCACAATATTCCGCCTCGTCGGTTTCGAATCACCAACCCTAACCTCGCTCTCCATCGCCATCACAAACTTCCTCTTCACACTCGTAGCCTTCCACTACATCGACCGCATCGGACGCCGCCGTATCCTTCTCTGGTCTGTACCCATCATGATCATCGGTCTCGCACTTTGCGCCATCGCATTCCTCTTCATCGACCTTCCCACCGAGGAAGCTTCCGCTACCGCCACTGCCATTGCCGGCGACAACAACAAGATATGGCCCTTGGTTATTCTCTTCTCCATGATAACATACGTCGCTGGTTACGCGATAGGCATGGGCAATGTTCCTTGGCAACAATCTGAACTCTTTCCCTTGTCTGTAAGGTCGCTTGGGTCTGCGGTGTCAACAGCTACGAACTGGGGGTCGAATACTTTTATTGGGATTACGTTTTTGCCCATGATGAATATCTTCACCCCTGTGGGAACTTTTGCGCTGTACGCTGTGGTCTGTGTGGTTGCGGAGATTGTCATTTGGAGGATATATCCTGAGACGGCGGGGTTGGGATTGGAAGACGTAGGCGGGTTATTGAAGGATGGGTTCGGGGTTAGGGATAGTGTTAGGAGGTTTGAAGAGAGGCGGCGGGATCGGTGATCGAGGGGTAGTTTGAAGAATCGTACACTAGGATTTAGTCACCTTACAGCGTTACGTGTCTGTCCATGGAGTGTGATGTCAAGGTCATTGATAGGTCGAGATATGACATCTGGTAACGTGAAGACCGACAGCGAGTTCCTGTGCATAAATGCCACCGCCCTCCCTAACATCTTTCCTATCCTTTAGATTCGCACGCTCCCATTTATTCAGACAGCCATACTGTACTACACCTACAACTACACCACCATGGAGCCTACGCTATTCTTCCTCACAACCCTCAGCGCTCTGGTAGCCGCTGCCCCAGTCCACGCCTCCAACCCCCCTCCTCCCCTCCCCACAGCCTTCTACCCTGACCCAGTCTCTGGATCTGGCTCCGGCCAAATGGTGGACAACATGCTTCCGGACAGCGACCTCCCAGGTGGCGGTATTGCCTCCGGCCAAATGGTCGACAACATGCTTCCCGACAGCGACCTCCCCGGCGGCGGCATCGGCTCCTCTTCTCCTCAGATACCCGATAAACGCGCCCTTGCCAACGCGGTTCCTGATAAATATGACTCGTCTACGTACTACGACGCAGCTGCTGAGAAAGAAGCAGAGGAGCTGGCTCTTGTGCTAGACGCTGCGAGTGAGAATGCCGCGGAGGACGAGAGTGCGGATACCAACCTTAACGTGAAGAGGGGACCGGGAATGGAAGGCAAAAGCGTGGAGGGGTGTAAGAAGAGGGGTGGGCCTGCACAGTGTGTGAAGTGTCAGAAGGAGTGGGATATGTACGTTTGATCCCGCTCACACTACAATCTCTGCATTTATCGCGTTGATATGAGTTTGAGCTCGATGCTAACGGTGTAATGTAGGCACGTCTCGTGTTTGTGCGAGAAGAAAGTTAGTTTTGATGCGTGCGTGCAGAGCAAGATGAAGAACTACGTAAGTTGGAGGCTTCGGAGCGCGCAGAGCTGATGGAAGATGCTAACATACTGGTAGGACGCCTGCGCAAAGAAGGAATGCCCATAAGCTAGGTACGGCTATGAGTAAGTGGAGACCACCGCAGGAGGAGAGTCGGTGGACGCATATTTGATTTGCTCCAAGATTGTTGTGTCTGTGTCAATGAGCGTTGAGAGTTTGTAGTGGAAATTTACATTTCAGATTTTTTGATCTGTCTGCTATAACACATTTTCCAGGCGTATCGTCGCTTTTGCGTCGATGCGAAACTTTGATGACCTTAGTGACCCGTTCCCGCATCCATATTAGAAGTTACCTCATTCGCCGTAAACGCCAAAGTGTCATTAACTCATTACCCTTCCATCCCCTTGTGCCGAAACGCCAACGCTGATGCAAATGCCGGAATCCTTGTGTCCCTCATCCTTCACACGCTAGGGTGGCGGGTATCATATCATGCCAATCAGTTGTGCGTAGAGTGTGAATCTCCTAGTTGCCGACGGCCGTGTCGTTGAGCGCGACACAGACAGCACCACGGTGATGTCCGTTGTACTGCCGGATGATGCTCTGGCTACCAAGCTCCCACAGCCTTGCGTAGTGGTCTGAGCAGCTGGTAACGAGGTAGGCGCTGTCGGCGGAGAAGGCGCAGTCCCAGACCCACCTCTGATGACCATGTAGCGTAGTCTCCAGAGGAAAGGCAGCTGGGTCGCGCTCGCTAGCTGCTGGCAGGTTGTCGGTGGGCGTGACGTTATGGGGAGCGGTAGGATCAACGGACCAGATGCGCGCCGTGTGGTCGGCGGAGCAGGTGGCTAGATGACGCACGTCCGGCGAAAGGAGGACGCGGGTGATGTAGGTTGTGTGGGCCACGAACTTGCAGATGGGGAGGATCGAGGTGGTATCGCTGCGCTGGATCATGCGCCAAACGTAGACGTTGCCCTAGCATGCGGTGTTAGCAAAGGTTTGATACTCTCATCTGGCCAGACTCACGGCGTTGTTGCCTGCGCAGACCATGCTTCCATCGCTTGCAACCGTAACACTAGCCACGCTGACGTCGTCCTCTGGGATGAGCTGGTGAGAACACTTATTCTCTCCCAGGTCCCAGATCCTCACGTTACCACCGCGGTCGCAGCTGATGAGCTCTCCCTGGTTTGGATGGATGACGACATCGTTGACCGGAACGCCATGAGTGTAGTTGCGCTGAACGTTGCCTGATCGCGTGTCCCAGATCTTGACCGTGCCATCTTCAGACGATGTGACCAGCCACTTGGACTCGCAGTGGAACGCGACACCGGTGATGTTGGAGGTGTGACCGTCGAAGGTGAGGATCGCGTTCGGGTTTGTAGACTTGATGTCGTAGAGCTTGACCGTGTGGTGACCGGCGGCGGCGAGGTATCGCTTGTCGGGCGAGATGCAAAGGCGGTTGACTTGGGAGTCGGGGTGCGGGATAGTGCGGGAGCATATACCGGAGAGCGCTTCCCAGAATCTAGAGACGTCGGAGTCAGTATGAATGGCTGCCAATGGCGCATGAGACGCGTGCGAACCTAATGGTGTGGTCGTAACCGGCTGCAATTGGATGTTAGTCGTTTGTCTGCCACATGTGGGGTAGGCTCAACGTACCTGTGCATAGAATGACCGACATCTTGATTATAGGGTCTCTGTCTATTTACGAATTAGGGATGAACTTTTGTGTATACCGGAAACCCGTAGTAGTACAATCAATGCGACGGTGTTAGTATGCGCGACAACTGCAGAACATGACGCGCGCGAAGTTGCGATCACGATTGGAGAGCTTTGCGCGTTGAGGGGAGTTGGAGTTGGTCTTGTTCGGGAGTGCTTGGGCCACTTCAGCCCTATGGCGGTCAGCCTATAGCGGCCTAGCGCTATGTAAGCTCCTCATAGTGAATGGTGAATTCAGATGTCGTGACTGTGCTCGTGCGAAAGGCATACTTTGTTACGGGTGTCAGGCACATGATGTTAAGCCATACTCTGGTGTCTTCGCAGGATTCAGAGTTGAGTGCTATATCATACAACACAAAACACAAGCTGGATGAACACAATACTAGGTGGTATTTCAAGTGCCCGTCTACATGAGACCCGGGTACGCGGAGACGCGTTGAATAGCGGTAAGAATCTAAGACAGCAGCCTACAGCTTACTAGCTGTATGTATAAGCGGATAACTTTTCGGTCCACTCTCCAACGCATCCTTCGTGATCTCATCAACATTCTTGAACCCTCCAACGTTCATCAAGATGTCCAGATCAGCTAGTAGACCGCGCATAACATGGTCGACTCCCGTTTCGCCCATGATCGAAAGGCCCCAGATCCACAGACGGCCAACGAATACGAATTTTGCGCCCAGAGCGAGCGCTTTGAAGACGTCGGATGCGGAACGGACACCAGAGTCGAACATGATGTAGATTTTGTCGCCGACAGCTGGAGACTTTGTTAGCTATGCAGTAACAAGAGACAGGATACACTGAACGTACCATCAACAATATTCTCAAGAGCATCAAGACTTGCGACCGCGCCGTCGACTTGTCTTCCAGCGTGGTTGCTGACTACGATGCCATCGAAGCCCAGATCAACAGCTTTCTTCGCATCTTCGACACTCTGAATGCCCTTCAGAGAGAATGGCTTGCCACCACTGAGCTCCTTCCATAGTTTCATCGCCCACACCGCCTTCTCCCACGTATGAGCGCGTCCATGCCATACGTTATCGATCCAAAGCGCGCCAGCTTCGTTGGGCTGTGTCTTGGGGTCAATACCCTTCTCCTTGAGTCTCTTCTGGAAGACAGGGTCGGTAAGGCCCAGATCCGCACCAAGCCCATGGTAGAACGCGTAATTTGAATTTGCGACATCGTCATGTCGCCATCCGAGCTGCCAAGTGTCAAGCGTCAGGATGCAGGCTGTGAAGCCGCTGTCCACAGCACGTTGGAGAAGCGATCGAGTAAGCTCGTCATCGTGCGGCATGTAGAGCTGGAAGAATCTCACCCCCTTCTCGCCGCCACCGGCGGCGGTGCCTGTGTCGCCTTGTCCCTTCCTTACGCCCTCATCGTTGGCATGGCCTACGTCCTCTATGCTCTGTGAGCCTGCTGTCGAGAGACAGTATGGTAGCCCTAAGGCGCCTGCGGCTCTTGCTACGGGTAGCTCGCCCTCTGGGTTGTAGATCTTGTTGATACCAACAGGCGCAAATCCAATCGGCGCAGGCACTTTGTGTCCAAAGATCTCGGTCGCAGTGTCGCGCTGGTTGGTATCTACGAGCATACGCGGGATAATTCGATGTCGGTAGAACGCTTGTCTGTTTACGGTATGCGTGTGCGATTGGCCGGCATTTGAGGACGCGTAGAACCAGCCACCTTGGCTGAGTTTCTCTTTTGCTAAGTCTTCGAGTTTGCCCGGTTCTATACACAGTGCATCAGCCTTGCGCGATCTGGAATGTCCAGTTTCTGGTTCGCTCGATTTCTACTTGCGCGACAGTGCTATGAAGGTAAAGCATACTTACCTGTGTTGAACACTGGTACTTCGCCCTCATTGGATTTCCAAAAGTTCTTCCGCTGAAACAAGGCGTATTGCTGCGTGGTTCGGGCCTTCTGGTTGGGATTTACAGGGTCCATGATGCAAGTGGCCAGTCAGGTACAGCGTCAGCGCAATTGAGGAAGGAACTCGATAATGGATCTTGAAGGGAATGCTTGTTTTACTTTATCTTTTGAATCAAGAACAAGCGTTGACATTGCTTTTAGCATTGTACCACCGGCACTCTCGGATCCACGCCATAATCGTGACGCTTGCACAGCTGTCGCAAATTATGACGAAAGGTGATGCTGCTCGGACTGGACCCTGATCCCAAGCTTATCTCCGGACTCGTGGACGGCAATACGAACGGCAATTGCATGTAGCACGGATGGAACAAAGTCCTCGCTATCGATTGACACACTCGACTGTGAGTCACCTCCCAAGATCGGGGTCCATATGTGTCCGTTGACGATGACGCCGCAAATCGACCTAAGAGCGGGACAGTGGGGCATCTGAAAGCTTGTTTCCTAGCAATAAGTAGACGCATAAAGACAGGGAACTCGGTGCTATCTGCTGCAACACGCATTCCACTATGTCTTAAAACGCGGCTGATAGAAGTGATGTCATAGGGGCACTGCACACGCTTCCAGTTTAGACACAGACGAAGGTCGTGGTAAACACCATCTTGATAAAACCATTGTATCATGAACAAAGTGATAGCTAGGTAAAGTGGAAGGCGAAGGCCGAGCCCGCCAGGTATCATTTCGTAAATCTGCCCGCTTGCGATCTATGAGGCTCGTTTCCATGACCCGTCGTTTGATTGTACAGGAAACCAACGTACCCATCGTCGCTTGCAAAACATCCATAAGAGAGACATTGCATATCATCATGCATCGAAACTGAGCCCTTCGAGCCAAACATCATTAATCGTGGCCAAGTCAAGTGAGGACAAGCTATTTCTCGCTCGTCTTGATTGTGCCTGCCTCAGGCTTCTTGTCGGTCTGGGACTCCGGAGCGTCGGACTTCTCCGTCTGTACAGATGAGGGCGACTCAGTCACTTGGACCTTGCTCTCGTGCTGAGGGCCTGGCGTGCCTTCGCGATCCTCGCGAGACTTGGCGTTGGCGTCCTGGTTGTACTTGTTGACTTGCGAATCCAGATCCTTGTCTTCGTCCTCGTTATCGAACATCTCGCCGTCATTGTCTCCAGTCGAGACTTCGGTACCGTCGCCGAGAAGGATGATGCGACCGCCGTTGCCGTTGTTCGGCCGGAATCGACTGTCCAAGTCCATGTCGATGTCATCAGGAGAATCGTCAATGCGATGGTGAACGCCGGGACCGCGGAACTCGGCTACACAATTATATTAGAACTGAACTACTCGCTCTCTGAGGCGGACTTGGCTGGATCTTCTGACTTGCCGTACTCTGGCGGCGCACATGGACCCTCTCCATTCGCAACCCGCTTTGCGATGTCCTCGTACCACTGCTCCTTCGTCCTTCCTTGTAGGAGACCAATGACAGTCATGGTCATGTTGTCACAGCCAACACCTCCCGTGTCGCTGTTTGAAGCCAGACAGTTGTCCATCATGTTCTCGCAAATGGAAGCAAGATCCTGCTTTGCGACAATTCCGCGCCTAACGAACTCGACGACGGCTTGAGAAGACTGGCAATCCCAGATACCTGTATGGAGTCAATAAGAGCGCACGGGCATAGCAGGTTGTACTATCTTACCATCGCAGGCGACGATCAAGAACTCGTCATCTTGGTTGATATCATGTATCTCAACATCCGGGAAGGCAGTAACTATCTGCTGCTCGGGAGGAAGATCGGCGCTCTTCTTGAACTCGAAGTCACCTATCGCGCGCGATAGGGCCAGGTTGCCGTTGACACGGCCAAAGTCGACGAAACCACCTGCAGCTTGGATACGTGCCTTCTCAGCTAATAGATGTCAGTGCTGCTTGCCTGTGTAATCCATGTTTCTTACCCTCATTCTGGGGCTTGTGGTCGAAAGAGAGCGGCTTAGCCCTTCCCTTGACGCCTAGGACAGTACGCGAGTCACCTGCGTTGGCCTATTGATGTGAGAGTAGGCCAAGGAATGTTATATGGGGTCAACGTACGACGTAGATCTTGTCTTTGGAAAGGACGGCAACGGACGCAGTGCAGCCAGATACCTCCTCCTCGTACTTGGGATCTGTTCGCGTGAGTCAGCCACTTGTTGACTAAAGAACAGGTGCCCTAGAAACATACCACTCAAGATGGCGCGGTCTGTGGCGAGGAAACCATCTTGTAGAGCCTTCTTGATGTCGCCCTCTTTGAAAGCCTCCTGCTTCGCGACAATCTGGTGCAGCTGCTCGCCAGCGTACAAGGCCACCTTGTCACCACCGTGTCCGTCGTATACGCCGAAGAAGGCGAGTCGCTTGTCGTTGCCAGTGGGTTTGCCTGCTTCACCTGCAAAGTCTAGTACGGTGGCATGCGCGTCCTCCATGCTGATCCGCCAGCCCTGCATCGACGACACGCCGTAGATGAGTGACTCGCCATCGCCGTTTTCGGATTTCTGCGCAAGTAGCGTATTAGCGTCGTGTTAATGTGAAGGACAACCTGCGCGGCCGTGCAGCTCAATGCAGGCGACTGCCGCCAAATAGAGCGAGGAGTAGCGCAGGTGCGGGGGCGGGGGGCCAGCATTGGGAGGCAATTACCTTGTCGACGACGGGTTCTGAGAGTGTCTGACCCATGTTGTCCGGTGCCTACAAGGACCTGTGGGAGGAGACGAGGGGAAGTCTGAGGTTGATCGCGAGTCTCCCTAGGAGCATAGAATTCCAAACTGCGCTGTTGGTGTGTGGGGGGATTTCAGATGTGGCTAGGCGCAGGGGCGACTGGGTAAGTGGCCGGGCGTGTGTGGTGGGCGTCGTGTAGGTCCTTAGGAAGAGGACAGGAGAAAAGAATTGCGTGCTCTAGCTCGCGGGGGTAAACAGGCCGGATGGTGTTGTAGGCAAAGAGTGACGCTGCTCTACCTGTCAGGCCGGGCCCGTGCGGGCTAGTGGGTGTGGCTAGGTCGAGGCCAGAAACGATGACGCCGCCGCATTTTCTGCAGTCCCGTTTCCCCCACCAGCTCCTGTCGCTGTGGATTGCGGCCTCCTGACTGGAATACGCGCTCAGTTTGCCAATGGCTGCCTGGTCGTGCATCTTTTCGGGCAGTGCTCTGCTAAGGCGAGGCAGCCGGCGCCTAGATGCTTGCTTACTTGTGCAAGAGCTCGCGTGCCACGCACAAAGCCGTGAGCACCCCTATCAGCGCCTCAACAGCAGCCGCCGCCTGGCCTCGATGCACTGGAGCTGATCGTCCTTTCTGACTGAGGCATAGCTTCATCACTCGATACAAGAAGCCCTCCTCCTCAAGTTGTACCTGTCCCGCATCAAGCACCCTGAATGTGGGCCGTCTAATCTACACAGCTGGGTTGAATCCCCAAAAATCGTGCATACATTCAGGGTTTGGATGCAGTAACACGGTTCGGAAAGAATTTGCTTTGCTGCACATGAATTTGGTCCCGTGAACGCGATAGAAAGGGCAACACTTGCTCAGCCGCGTTGCGGCGCGACAATTCCCAGGGTCCAGATTCCGTGTCGGGCTCTGACGATGCACTACGACGGATTAGTACTACCCGACCGATTGGCACGCAAGGTGTTGCTTCCTACACTACACCTCCGAAACTCGCGATATACGTTCCACCGTAGCGCGAGGCAGGAGCTGTGAGCAGCCAAACCGCGGCCCTTTTCTAAAGCGGCACCATGTTATGGCTGCGTATGAGCAGCTGCGTGGGTAACTGGGAACACAAGATACCTGTGCAACGTGGTCCTGAAACTCCCCATATATTATCCATGGGAAAGCTATAACGGGGACGCTTGACCTGGGCTACCGAGGTCCTTTTGATACAGTGCAGCAACACTAAGCATCTGAAATACTCTCATGGTACTGACTCAGTGTTGCTTCTGTGAGACGAGCGTGCCCCCGGAGGACCCCGGTACCCCGGAGACCCCAAATGTTCTTTGAATATGCACTAAAAGCCCCACGACGAGGGCGACAGCGCAAATGATAGAACCCCGTGTCGCCAACTTCCTTCGTCATCTACCGGGGGTATTGGCTTCGGAACTTTCATGAGATTATCTATCAGACGCGCACGTATAAGCCGTCGCACGGTCCGGATATCGCAGTCATCGCCTAATATGGCTTAGTCTAAATTTGAACCTCGGCTGTCCGAGGTAGCGCAAGATCGACATCCTACTTAATCATCATTCCAAACACACTCTCTTCCCATCATCTCCATCATCAATCTACTATCACAATGAAGCCAACACCGGACTGGGTCAAGCAGCTGAAGCCTTCGGGCATCCAAGGCCACGAATTGCTCAAGGCTGAACGCGAAAACTCCAATATCCCCGTCCAGGAGCTGGAAGTGCTCCTACACACGCAGGATGTCATCGACAGGAGAAACAAGATTCTTGAGATTCTCAAGTCAGAGAAGGTCTTCGACAAGTCGCAGAACTACTTCATGGGAAGAATCGACAGATTCGAGAGGGCGCTTGCAAGGGAGAAGAGACTCAGAATCTTGAAAAAGCAACACAACTGGTCTTTTGACGAGTTCCGGACTGCTACAGAACTTGTTGGCGAACCCGGACCATACGGACTCCACGACTCTATGTTCAAGGTACGCGCCATGTTCTGTCTCTGCGCGACTTCTACTCACTATGCAGGTTACACTTGAAGGCCAGGGTACGCCGGAGCAGCAGGAAAAGTGGCTCACCAAGGCCAACAACTACGAGATCATCGGATGTTATGCTCAGACTGAGCTTGGCCATGGTTCTAACGTTCGAGGACTTGAAACAACCGCCACCTGGAACAAAGAGGACAAGACCTTCACCATCCACTCCCCACATCTGACCGCCAGCAAATGGTGGATTGGATCCCTAGGTCGCACAGCTAACCACGCGGTCGTCATGGCTCAGCTCATCATTGATGGCAAATCATACGGGCCGACTCCATTCTGCGTCCAGATCCGTGACCTGAAGACACACGAGCCGCTCGACAACATTCACATCGGAGACATCGGTC